GGAGGGAGGGGGAGGGGGGGATAAACGGGTGAGCAATGCGGAGGGAGCGGGCCGGGTATTCACGGATCGTTTTCGCAGCAGCCGTATTTTCAAACAGGGAAGTCACACATGCACTCACTTTGCGCACTTTGCACCGCGCTTCCTCCCCTCCCCCCGCTGCCGTGCGGGACCTCCGACGACTTCGCGCTGCATCGTGTTTAACTTAACGAGGAGATATCAAGTTTTGTGATAAGGACGACTCAGCGCTTATCTTGCAGCTATTTCACTCTTCGCCTCCCCGAGTTCTTTGAATAACGTTGTGCCCCCCCCCACCCCCTCCCTTCCCTTTACAGAACCCCTCACTCCTCACTCCCCACCGCTTCCCTCTTTCCGTTTCTTTTCTCGTTCATGTTTTTGTATAAAGTCCACCAGAGGTCTCCTGGGTCACTCCGTTCCATTATTAACGAGGGCATAGGCCGCCTCGAGCCGAGAGCCAGGCCCAGGGCCCACCATTAGCACCGCACTCTCCGTCCTTGTCGCTCGCCTGACTCCCCCGGAGGAGCCACGGTAAAAGAGGAAGGGGGGGGGGGGGGCTAAACCCGGCCGCGCAAGCCAAACTTTGGCACCCAAGCAGCAGTCGAGAATAATTCCGAAAAGAAAGGAGAGTCCTCTCCCGTGTTTCGCGCCAGTGGTTCGACTTCGGAACCCGCCTGCTCCTGCCGCGCGAGTCCCGGGACTCCCCCACGCCCCCAGAAGCACCCGAAGGACTACACCCGGCTGTACAGCTCGGCGCTGTTTCCAAACAGCTTCCGTGACATTTCCAGAGTCGCAGCCACCGCCGCGTCGTGACGTCCGTCCGGCGGCCTAAACCAGGGCAGGCGCGCGCGCCCGGCCCGTGACCTCCCCCGCCACGCCACGCCGCGCAACGACAACTTTTTATTAGATCGCCGAAGTTTCCTGCCGGCGGTCTCATCTCTATGTGCTTTGGGGCTCACAGGCCGCGGGGCGCGCGGGCCAGTCCC